TGGCTTCACTTGATTTCGTTTCTGATACAGGCAGTTCAGGCTAGCACAAAGCCTTTAAACCGTGTCCGTCGTGGTACTGGCAGTAGTACAAGTAGGTTTTGTACAGTGGTAGGACAAGTAGCTGGAGCAGCAGTAGCGGCAGTTGCAGCAGCTGCAGCTGGAGCAGTAGTAGCTGGTGAGTAGCGGCTTTCGTACCAGCGGCAGCACGAGGAGCTTCAGCAGAAGCAGCAGCAGACGACGACGTGCGTCAAGCCCTATGATCTAAGGTGGACGACCAGATTTCCACACTTGCGCGGAAGGCTGCTGAGAAGGAGTGTGACAACGTGCGAAGGGCTTGTGGGGTGGAGGTGTCTGATCTAGCAGATATACTGAACCTTGAAAACTTCCACAGCAGTTGTATCATGTTGGAACCTTCTAAACTTGCCAGCTAGTTCATATCCCGGGCGACCAGAGCAAACGAAAGCAATGTTCAGAGCCGAAGACGAGATTCAGACCGTCTAGAACCTAGAAACATCCCCAGACCCCAACCCTTAACCTGCCAAAAGGTTTGCATACCTGTAAAGAATTCATGGTCTTGGCCCGTGAGTTGCAGTCCTAATTCCTGTAATGCATTAAGAATGACTTTGGGCAAGGATGGCTACAGTGACCTCCAAAAGTCTAGTGTCTGCGAACTTCATTAATTCGGTCTGGACAGATAGCTTCGGCCCGTAAAGTTTGGTAAGGATGAGTAATTAGCAGATCTCTACGGACAGATGCATGCGATACACTAAACGGCCATGCTGAGCGGCCTTCAAAGTGCTGCCCTTGAACTGATTACAGCAGGCTTTGGAGGTCTGCTATGAAACGGCGATGATTTACCGATCAACTGCCCGCCCCACCCCCCGAGCAAGCCCTACAAATACCTGATAGCAAAAACTCCGAGTATCCCGTTGATAACCCCTATACAACTCGCATATATGATCCCCTGTATAACCCTCTATATATACACCATATGGAACCCCAGCCTCCCTGTCATGTTCCATTTGACGTTGCGTCAGATCTCACTTATCTCAGTATACCTTAGTTATCACCATCGGACTTTAGCAATGAGAGCTCAGGGTCTAAGGTGGGTGAATTTAGGGCTTAGGGTGTGGGATCACTAGGGTTCTCAGTTCAGCAGAGAATAACACGATTGAACAGTTCTGTGCTACCGGTCGCCCCATCCTCGGCCAATATGTTTTTTGAAAGTTCAGGTTCAGGGCCGTAACGAATACAACATATCTAGCTCGTTTATAAAAATCCCAATACGGAACCCGAACCCGGGTTGGAGCCATAAACTGAACTAGGAGTGCGCTTGTTGGTTCTTAATCTCCTCCGGTAATATTCACCCCCTGACATCACATAATAGAACTCAGGGGCCTAAACATCCTGAAAGCCAATTTCTAAAGGGCAGGACTACTTTGAAAGGGGCCACATAATAATGAATTAGGGAGTAGCTAATGAAATAAATAAGTATGAAAAGTGCGAATGAGTGTAATTCATGAGATAATGAATTGAATTCCGTTACTGGTCAAGCGCGCACTTGTTCATTTTCAACAGAGTTTTAAAAAGATTTTGAAGGCAGCCCTATCCAATTCTTTCAATACATAATCCCCCCCCTAAGATTAAACAAATATCCAGGCTTCGGATTATTCAATATCTGGCGGGGCACGACGTTAATATTAGGGGAAGCGATTAGTAGGGAATGCAGGAATCTAACAGAAAGTGGCCCACAATTATATTGGGGAGTATAGGGGCTACTATGGTCATCCCTTGCGCAAGTCCTCACAAACAACCTACTTAACAACAGCAAGTAAAGTAAAGCTTTGCAGTGCAAGAAGCCTATGTCGAGAGAATCCAGGACTCCCCAAAGCCATTAGCCTGCTAGTTAGAAACAGTTTGCTTTGGATTTAGGCTTTGAGGTTATAGTTGCGAAGGCTGAGGGGTTCTGACCTTCCGCCTTTAACCCACATTTTTGTGCAGCGTGAGGAGTTCCGCCGCATGAAGCTGGAGGAGTACCAGCGAAATGTTTCTATGGCCAAGGGTCTTTGATGCTCCCAGGGGTTTACGGCTTGGGGTTATTTCGCATAAGATAATAAGGCTCTTTTCTAGGCCCTGGGGCGTACCGCCCCTCCCCCCTTCCATCATGCATCCCGGAAACCCTAAATAGTAGAGTCCATTTTACTTTCCATTATCCCAATTAACATTACCCCATTATTATTCCAATAGTACCCGATGTCTAAACCTGGGGCTCTGCGAGATGCTTGCCGTGCACGGAATTCGCATGGCCATGTCTCTAAGATTGGCGATTAGTGATTGTAGTCCCCCTTAAGTAGGTAGAATATAGGGTTGAGGGTTTAGGGTATAGTCCCCCTTAAGTAGATGGAATACCCCGACGCTATCTGCGTAAGGGGGATTATACTACCCTCGTCCTATATGATGCATTTTTAGGCTTATTGAGGTGGAACCTACAGGGGTGGTAAGGGAACCCCAGCTGATGTGTAATGTGATTATAGCAACCATCGCTGATAACGGCTTTTGTGGCCTTGAGCGGTTGCATTTCTACAGACACTTGGGTGCGCATACATCCCACAATTGCTAGTATCTATTCCAAGCTATTGATTCCATACCCTCCTCCAAACTGGCATGAGACCCCATTTTTGCCAGGACTTAAGTCTTCATAGTGACCTTCTGGGGTTCTGTATCTTTTTTGGGTGGGGGTCCTGAAGAGAAAAGAGAGCTCTTGGGGCATCCTTGAAATTGGTTTAGGATTTAGGCTTTAGGGTCCGGGTTTCAGGTTCCAGGCATACGTCCCAGCTCCGAAGGGTTTGAGGTTATCACTAGGTTGCTGGTTCTGCAGCTAAACCTACTTGAGTAGTCGGCCAGTAACAGTTTTAGATTGGAAGAAACATTAGGTTATATATAGATACATTTTACATGTGTATATACATATATGTGTGTATATGTGTACGTATAAATTATTTAAAGCACATTTCTGCTGACTTATCGGGTTGGTGCAGTACCCAGCCTATGCAAGATGTTAAAACCTGGAAGCTTGGACGCTGGAACTATGAGGTCCTGGCTAACCGCAAATTCCAATTTCAGCCGAACAGTTTTTGACCATCTCATATTGCTGGGGAGTATGTAGGGCTGCTAGAGGGATCCACCCTCCAACAAATTCCTACTGACAGCCAATAAGTTTTGGGGTGGGGTGTGAGGTTTCAGTGGGTTCCACTGACGTTTACTTAAACAGAGGAATATTTCCAGCTTCCTGGAGACATGCCCCACATGTGCCATACTGACGGTGGCCATCATTTCAGGGAGCAAGCCCTCCCTTGTTTAGCATGTGCCGAAATACAGTTCATGGGGCTCAGGGTTTGGGGTCTATCACATGACAGAACCTATAGAGCCCTGGCAACTCCCCATGTGACTTCTGCATGGATAACTTGAGCCCTCCCTGACTACGATACAGCTCCACGGTCATGTCATCTCTCTGCAGGTATAGGTGATCGGTGAAAAGATGGGATCCTGTTGCAGGTTCCCAGCATCCGTCAATTTCGTTCGTACGTATCTGCCTCAGGAGGACTGTAAACCATACATCCAAACGCAGAACCTAAATCCAACAAAGACCCTGGGTGAACCTTACGTGGCCAGTACATAGTCTTTTAGGCTCTCCGAATTATTCCCTGCCCATACTACACCCCCTCTTCATCGCTTGAATGGATGGCATTGAGGGCGGGCGGTATAGGAATCCAGGAATTGAGTTAAGAATCCCTTCTAGAAGCCCAACAACGATCACGGTTTAGGGTGATAAACTTTTTGCACATGTGCAGTTTGCAGCTCGGAAGCCGAAACCGTCTTCAGCGCTGCCGAATCTAAAAAGAGCCGCAGTGGATGGGCAACCAAGCAAGTTCGAATCTTCTCCCCCAAATGAAAAAGACCCACCCCTATCATTAAACAGACCCCAAGATAGCAAGCTAGCATACCAATGTGGAGCATGTAAGGAGGGTGTTAAAAGAATTCCGGCGGGCATAGCATTCTCACTTTTGGTGTTTCAGCGTGCTTTGGGGTGGTGCTGGAACTAGTGTTCCAGTTGGCTTCATGCATTGTTGACACGTTTTTTATTAAGCAAGGATGCCCTTCTAGCCGTTAAGAAGCTTTCTTGCAACATCTTGCAACTGTTATGCGTGTTCGGTATCCGAAGGAAGACTTGCGACTTGTGCAGTTGTTATTTTGCCGCTCCACCTTAAGCACCAGGAAGCCCTGGGGGCTGAGGGGTTGGCTTAAGTCTCAGGGTTGTGAGTTTATCACATAGCATGACAGAGTCTCATGACTTACTTCAATCACTTCGGATCTTACGTTCGGCTGGTATATCCCTCCTGGAGCTTACACAGGATATAGGATGTACCTGTTGTAAGTTTCTTGTCCTGCTTTTGCTGTTCACAGGCTTTGGTTTGAAGAGTTGAGCCGCAAACGTGTAATGACATTTTGGAGGAGGGGGTAGTGCTACGATCACTATTACAGCTGCTGTTATCATGGGGCTGTGTTGATATTACTAGAAACTTGGTATGAACATAAATGTTTGTCCCATGCAACTTTGCATGTAGCGCCTCTGGTTTGGGGCTGGGTATGTCGAATTCTGGGTTTGGGGCGGAAGCATGTTGTTCGCAAGCCTTTTTCAGCCGCATGATGTATAGGACAAGCTTGGAGGAACTTCGCATGACGAACTGACGCAATCCTGTGCCTACAGCACACCCAGTGGTCAGAATCCTTTTCCAACTTGATGTGGATATCCATGTTTGGTCTTCGCCCTCAGAAAAGGTTGAGCAGCTGAGTCTGCGGAAGTCCTGATGGAGGGTGAGCAGATGCTGTATATAACCCACGAATAAGCTACACCGGCATTTTTATTAGTATTTGTACTATTATGTTAGTGTGGATATTTGTACTATTGCTATTACTATTATGATTACTTTGTTAGCCAGGCACTTGGCCCGAGATTTGGGCCCGCGTAACATCACCGTCAACGCGATCTCACCAGGGTGGACGGGCGGCTGTTGTTGGGGGGTAGCATTAAGGTGTTGCCTCTACAGTACATGTGCTTCAACTTTTCTGGTCTCAGTACGGAATAAGGGAGCATATTCCCTATATAGTCTCTATAGAACACATTCCCATATTACCTTCTAAGCCCCAGAACAGTTCGGTTTTTGCTAACAAAGGGGATGCTGAGCTTGACGACGTGCACAACAAGTATCTAGAATAGAAAAAGTTGAGTTTCCCAACAGGTGGAGGGGTGGTCTGGGTGCAAGGTGGCTTGGCTTACACTTCAGGGTTTGGGGCACATATGTACATATATAGATATGGCGCAGGTCACTCTGCGGGGCTTGAGGAACAAGTAGAACTGTGCGTAGACGTTTTCTTGCATCGAAGACCAAAAAAACCCTGCACGGACCCGTAGCAGATTTTTGACCATGGTCTGGTGCGGTTGCTTTATACGACATGGCTGAGGAAAATTGGGTTGGGCGACGTTAGACCGAAAATGCACCCATTATCTGAGTGGCAGGCCGTTCTTCAGCAGGATGCTGGCAAGCAACTACAGGCGCATGGATGTGTGCTGAGGGTGGAAACACCCAAGACATAGCCAGGCTTTGCCCCCCATACTAGGCGGCCTCAGCGGTTTATGCAAATAAGCAGGTTGTCGTTGTCCCTTGCAGCTTTAACTTTCACACAAAGGCTGCGGATGGAGGGCATTTCTAGCACCAAAAACATGAAATCTCCGCCCTCCAGGAGGAGAGAGCAGCAAATTAGGGCAGGAGAGCCACCCTACAGCCCAAAACATGCTGCTTAATTTGTCCGCGTGCAAGAGAGTCTTAGGCTTTAGAGCTTCATGGCAAGGTAGCCCACGCAGGGCAGTTTTCATGAATAGGCGGCCCAGTGTAGATTCAAGATTCTCTAGTGCTTATTGAAAAGGGACCCGTAATTTCCGGAAACAGGTCAGACTTCCCAATGTTCAGTCCTTGCCGTATCTGTGCATAGTATGCCTTATAGTTTCTCCCCTTCGTCCTTGTCTAGGGGAGAGTTGAACATATCTTTTTACCAGTAACAAACCCTATACGGAATATGACGCTACAGGTTACACTTGTATCCCAATGTGGGGCTAGTTCTGGGAACTGCCCGATTTTCTGTTTGGATACGGGAGCCCAATCTGGCCTCAACCAACTTGACACGGCATGGGAACTGATCCAGAGGCTCTCACTGTGGATATTAGAACCCTGCACGCCGCAAGCATACTAGAACGGTCTAATTCCCAGGATTTTTTTGTATACAGAGTATGTTTTTGAAACTGTTGTTTTGTGTGTAAGAGCTTAGGCTATTTCTGTGAGAGCTTAGGTTGCACTACCCCTGCAGATGTGTAAAGTCCTAGGCCAATCAACAGCCATAGCTGTATGACACTCACCGGTATTTATTGGCATTTAGTATGACAAGTCAATGCTAGGTGACAAGTATTGAAAGAGATGTTCAACAATGCCCCAGAATTTCAAAACTGTTTTTAGCTTGCCAGCCAACTGCGTATGCCAGGCCTGCGTATGAGAACTGGCAAAACCCGGACCACCCTGAGGTAAAGAAGTTCAAGGCCCATGGTACGTTTAGGATTGAAGGCTTAGACTTTACGGTTCAGTTTAGTTTAGTATTTCGGCTATAGGGTTTAGAGCTTCTTTGGGTTCAGGATTTGAAGGTCTAGGATTCAGCTCTTAGGATTCGGGCCTTTGCCTTTGGTGACCAGTAGCAGGTGTACTATCAGCAACAAGCCACTTCCTGATATCGTTGCAAAGATGTCTCCCTGAAGGCTGTCCAGAGGGACCCTACACACTACACCTTGTTTAGGGTTTAGGGTTTAAATCCAAAGAAAACTGACTAAACCTGAAACCCTGGACAAGAACCCTTATTACCAGATGCCTTGTCCGAATTCTGAGCGACAACACCTCGGAGCTGTGTGTCCGGGTGTTCTTGGTAACTAATGCTATGGCCAAAGAACATATGTGGCAATTGCTTTCCAGCTGCGCTCCAGCTGTGTGCAGTTGCCTCTCCATATAGGATTCAGCTTGCCAACAAAAACACAACAAAACACGAATGAACCCATGCAAGCAAAACAACACGTTGCATGGGTCCTCCACTCGGCCCCTGTACAGACCATTCACAATTCCTTGGAATATCCCCTCTCTATAGCTGCCTCTCACTGAAACAAGATTCTTAAAGACAACTCTGGACTTTAAGCTGAGTCGACACACCAAAAGGGCAACAAGAATTCGCACGGCTACAAGAGAGGATCCAGATTCATAGACATTCCCCCCACAAACCTGCAATGCGTACATGCTTCCCTGTTTGGTGTCCCTAGAACTCCGCGCAGCCTGCACAAAGATGATCCCCGGAACAGCCCGCAGCCCTGTGCCAAGGAGAGGCTTACACTTGCGCCACACCGTCATTCTTGCCGGTTCGTAATGGCCATTACGCCATTAAAGCCCCAAACCCTAGAGCATTTTAATGTACCCTCCGAAGCCGGGTAGGGTATCCTTTACCTAGAGTCAGCCGCTGTGTTGATTTCAGCATCCCCTCCATAGACCCTGTGGGACAATGATGTGTATACCATTATGTATATATGCAGGGTTTAGTGTTAAGGGTATATCTTCAGACCCCTAATCATACCGCCCACATCACATACAGGGTCCCCTCCCCACTTACTTCCCACAAACTCAACACTCCAAACCCTAAACCCCTAAACCCTAAAACCAAATGGTTTTCTGGAGGCCGCTATCGCAGCAGGAAATCCTCTCCGCCGGCTGGGAGAAACGTTTGACATTGCTGGGACGACGAGCCTCCGTGTGTATACAGTGTTGGAAACATGGTAGTTTCCCAAAATAGAGGAACCCCAATATGGACCCCAACATACTCTGGTCCTTATTTTAGGGACCCCCAAAACGGTAGCCCTCATTTCGGGAAACTCCCAACATGGTTTTTTGAGGTGTTGGGGAATTGGCTTCAGGGAGTAAAGCATTAGGATTATGGAATATTATGGAGTTACAGTCCCCCTTAAGTAGATAGAATATGGGGTATATGGGGGTCATACTATAATATACCCAAAGCCATATTCTATCTACTTAAAGGGGACTATACACCGAAGATTCTCTGATGCAAGTAGCTCTTCA